AGTATCAGTGATGAAGGCCTAGAGAGAGGTAGGAAGGGCTTGGCTTGGACCTTTCTTCCGGAGGCCACAGTGAGAACAGAGCCACTTTACCACCCTGTCTCTCCTTCCAGTTGGCAGACAGTGAGGTGAAGGCGGGGACTCTGCAGCTGACAGTGGAGCGGCTGAATGGGGCCCTGGCCAAGGTGGAGAAGAGCGAGGGGGCCCTGCGTGACAAGGTACAGGGCCTGACGGAGGCCCTGGCCCAGAACAGTGCCAGCCTCACCAGCACCCAGGACAAGAACCTGCAACTGCAAAAGGCCCTGACGGCCTGTGAACATGACCGCCGAGTACTCCAGGTATGGGGGTTCCAGGGTCTGGCTGGGGATGGACCCAGTAAGCTAGTTAGTTGCCAATAGGGCAGGCTTGGCGGGGTCCGGTAGAGAGCCAGCCAATGGGGCAGGCAGTCGGAAACCCTAAGGAGCCAATCAATGAGAAGGAGGAGTGGGCCTAATAAGAGCAACAGTCAGTGAGAGGAGGCTCTGGAAGAGGCAATAAGAGAACAGGCTTGGAGGGACCTAGATGCAGGGTTAATGGGGGAAAGTTGGGGTCTGAGGGGTCCCCATCTTATATAGGTCAGTGGGTAGGCTGTGGGCCAGTCCTGCTGTCTGGCTCACCCCCCAGGTGAAATGACTACCTATTTTCCGGGCTATGAAACTGGCCGGAGATAAAGAGTAGAGGGTGTGCCCCAGCCTGGCACCATCCGCCTCTGCCCCCCAGGAACGGCTGGAGGCTGCTCGGCAGGCGCTGTCCGAGGCCCGGAAGCAGAGCAGCTCCCTGGGCGAGCAGGTGCAGACAATGCGGGGCGAGATGGCGGATCTGGAGCTGCAGCGTGTGGAGGCTGAGGCCCAGCTGCAACAGCTGCAGGAGGTGAGGGCCAGGGTGGACCCCTTCTGTCCCCAGGATGCTGAGGCCTCAGGATGGAGTCAGGACCTTCCCATCTATCTCAACCTCATTCCAGACACAGGCCCAGCTTCCTGGGAGGAGGAACCCCACAACCCAGGAGCCCAGGAATGAAGCATGGTACCCCCATTATAGAGATGGAGAAACTGAGGCTCAGAGAGGAGAGCTGTCTGGCCTCAGGTGACAGTTCCCTGGTGCAGGCCTCACAGTCGTCCTGCAGAGTTAGTGGGCATAGCATGCTGGCATTGTCCTCCCCGAGCTACAGATGCACACACAGGCCCAGAGGAATTAGGGACTTGCTGGCTTCTGCTGCAGGTGGTGCAGCAGCGTCAAGAGGCCGAGGCTGTGGCCCTGCGCACGGTCCAGAAACTGCAGGACGAGCGGCGGCTGCTGCAGGAGCGCGTGGGCAGCCTGCAGCGTGCTCTGGCTCAGCTGGAGGCTGAGAAGCGGGAGGTGGAGCGGTCAGCCTTGCGGCTGGAGAAGGACCAGGTGGCCCTCAAGAGGACGCTGGACAAGGTAGGCTGCTCCCCAGGGCCCTCCCCTCACTTCTGTTAGGTCCTAGCCGTGGTTGGTCCCAGCTGCATGTCACTAGGGTCTGGGGGCCTCGGTTCCTTCTGGTTCCTGGTCCTGCTGCCTCTAAACTAACACCCCTTCCGGAGCCCCACCCCTGGTTCCCAGACCTCCCTCTGTCCCGGGCACCCTGCTCCCCTCCTGCTCTCGTCGCCTAGGTAGAGCGGGAGAAGCTTCGCAGCCACGAGGACACAGTGCGCCTTAGTGCAGAGAAGGGCCGCCTGGACCGCACGCTCACGGGGGCAGAGCTGGAGCTGGCTGAGGCCCAGAGGCAGATCCAGCTGCTGGAGGTCTGCCCCTTCCCTCCCAGCTCTGGACACCCTCTCCCTCACCCATGACCCCACCCCACTCCAGCCTGTGTGTCAGGCTGTCCCAGGAGTTGCTGAAAGCTCAGCCAGCCCAGGGCCCACAGTTCATGAGCCCAGACCCTGAGGGAGGTATGGGGGGCTCAGAGTGAGGTCCCAGAGGGAGAGGTCCTCCCCAAAGCTCAGAGAAGAGAGATGCTAACGGCCAGTTAGCACTTGAGCCTATGTGTTCATGTCTGTTGTGGACATGTAGAGGCATGAGTGTACATGGGTGTGTTCTGGTGCTTGCCACGGATGTGGCAAGTCTGAGTATTAACAACGTTGTATCTGTGCATGTCTGTACAGATGTCTTCGTGCATGTAGGAGTTTTAGGCATATACACCCATGTTTACATGTTTGCTTTTGTGCCGGTATGTGTATGGGCCTGTGTTTGATACATCTGTGTGTGTGTATGTCTAAATGGGGGTCACTAGGTACCCTAATCGCAGACCAGGAGGGCCGGGGGGTCGGGAACAAGGATTTCTCCTGCACCCCTGACTAGCCCTCTCTCCTGCAGGCCCAGGTGGTGGTGCTGGAGGACCATAGCCCAGCCCAGCTGGAGGCGGAGGAGCAGCAGCCGCTGGAGCTGCAGCAGGAGATGGAGCACCTGCGCAGTGCCCGGGTGCAGGCAGAACGCACCCTGGAGGCGCGGGAACGGGCCCGCCGGCAGAAGGTGCATGGGCTGGAGGAGCAGGTACTCGGGCCTGACTGGGCTCTGGCCCCTCCCCAGCAGGACACCCCCTTGGGGAGCTGGGCCAGCAAGGAAGTGTGAAGCTCGAGGGGGAAGGGGAGGGGGGAGGGCTGGGTGTGACCTCTGGGGTGTAAGCAGTCCGGCATCCAAAACTAAAATGGCCAGTGGGGTCAACCATGGCTGAACACTAGCTTAAGTGCTGTCATTGGAGCTCAGTCCCCTTGCCATGGCTCTGCTCGCTGGCCCTGGGCAGGACTCTCCCTGAGTCACACAAGTGGCCTCAGCGGCTCCAGCCTCAAGTTATCCCAACCACCCTGATCTCGGGGCCGGGGGGAAGGGGGTGTCTTTTTTTCTGAGAGTAACAGCAAAAGTCCCAGGGATGCTTGTCATTGACCAACTTCAATCCTATGCCTGGGTCACAGGTCCACCCCTGGAGTCAGGCTAGTGCCAGGCCCATCTGAATGATGAGAGTGGGGATGGGGTGGCCCCCAAAGAGATGCTGAGCAGTCAGAGGACACCTGACTATACCACGGAACTGAATGAAAAGGGGAGAAAACACCCTGGTTCTAATGAGACCTGTTTTTTTCCTGAAATGGGCAGCATTGGGTCCCTTCTGGGGTACTAGCTGCAGTCACCCCCCCCCTTTTCTCTGAAACCTGGGCTGGCTCTACCTGCTTTTTCTTCTCCAGGTGTCCATGCTGAAGGGACAGTTGCAGCAGGAGCTTCGAAGGAGCTCAGCATCTTTCTCCCCCGCCTCTGGGCCCCCAGAGAAATGAGCCCCTTCCTGGCTGGTGGCCGGGGCAGGAGAGGGACCTCCTCTCTGGCACAGTCCACTCAAGAGCATGGGCCTATCAGGGCCACCAGAGCTCAAATGGAGGTGAGGAGAGCCACGGTGGCAGTTCTGAGAGGTGGGGACTCCAGTGCCAGGCCAGACCCAGCAGTGGCTTCCCAGCATCATCAGAGCCACTGGCCATCCGTGGGCCCCACCTCAGTCCATCCCCATCCCCAGATGAGCCACTCCAAACTGCACAAGATCCTCGCTGAGTGGCGGAGCCAAAGCCAGGGGTCAGGGAGACCCTCTTGTCTCTGGCTGGCCCTGGAGCGTGCACTCCTAGGAAGGAGGGGTGCCCAGGCCTAGGGCAGGGGTCAGAGACCCAGGCCCTGCCCTGGTTTCCCAGAGGTCTCGCTGCCTCAGTTCAGAATGTTCGTCAGGAAATTCCTTAGAGTTCAGCGTCCCTGTATTTTTATACCTTTTTATAATGTTAACTGTTCAGAACTGTTTGTGTTTTTTATAACAAGAAAACCCCATTTTTCTAAAAACAGTTTTGTATAGATGTGTCCCTTTACTGTCAATGTGCTTTATCCGCCTGGTAGATGGGGGGGAAGACAGGTAGGGCCTGGGGCAAGAGGGATGGGTGCCCCCATGAGAGGCTCAGGGAGTGGGAAGCTTTAGAAAGGCGCCTGTGGGACTTACCAACCTCAGGATGTAGGGTGGGAGGCCTCCAGGGTCCAGTGCCACCCACTCCATTTAACAGATGGGGCTGCTGAGGCTTGGAGCTGTGACCCAACCTGTGGGGTGTGACTCTTTCCAGCTGATGTTTTCTCTTCCCTTTCTCTGGCCCCTCCCCAGGGTGGGGCCCACCCTCTGGATAGTGACAGACCTTCCAGGCAGCGTGGTGAACACAGGCAGGCCCGAGAGTGGGCGTGGGGCCCTGGCCCCACTGAGTGAGCTTGGGCAAAGGTGCTTAACCTGTCAGAGCCTCGCTCGCTCATCTGTAAATGAGAACCTGCCCCACTGGTTATGGGGAAGTCCATATGGACGGTGTCCGATTAGTGTCTCCAGGGAGAAGCCACCCTCAGCTGTGGAATCCAGTGGAATCAGGTTCTGCTCAGTTCTGCCACTTCTAGATGCGGACCCTTGGGTGGGTTATTCTTAATGCCCCTGGGCTTAGTTTCTCTTTCTGTATGACGGGGATATTAATTGTACCCACCACAGAGGCCTATTTGCAGGGTTAGACAGGACTTGCTGAGCGCTGGTTCAGTCTGGTCTCAGGGAGGCATATTGGCTCACCCTGTTTCTGCCCTCTGGACTGCACCAGCCGCCCACCCCCATCCAAAGCCCTTATCTCAGAGTCCACCTACCTTGACCTCCTGCCTTGGCTCGTACCCCTCTAATGATGGGGGACTCGGGCCTTGACAGTGAGAAAGCTGTATTCCTGAACCTTCTATTTATGATGTAACCCTGGGGAGCAGCTGTCATGGCCCATCTTTCTGGCAGGTCAGAGCTGAAGTCGGCGGATGGGGAGGCTGGGCTGGGACACGTTGCCTGGAGGCCAGGCTGCCACAGGTCGCCTGGACAGTCCCTTCTCAAGAGGCTAGGTAGCCTCTTAGTGAGGACAGGCCGTGTTGGAGGCACCTGGCCACCCCCATTGTGTTCTCTGAAAAATGACTGAATCTTTTGTAAAAACTTCTTTTTAATTTTGTATAAAACAGAGGTGGCCTACGCCCAGGGGCTGTAGGAAATCCAAGCAGACCAGCTGGGGTGAGGGGCACAGCCTACCTCAGGGGGCTGGGGGACTGTCCTCAGAGGGGCTAAGAAGGCACTTCGGAGACCCAGGTTCACTGAGAGGCCTGGGATGCCCCCACCTGGGGGCAAAGACTGAGCAGTGGGGAGCCCTCATGTGCCTCAGGTGGCCACAGGCTGGGGAGGGGCCTGAGACACCCCCGTGGGCCACAGTCCACTAACTTTTTATGGAATAAAGGGAATATCAGGCCGGTAAGGAAAGCACCAGGTCAGGCAGGGCCCGAGGGCCCGGAATCTGAGGAGGGGCCAGGGCTCGGGGTGCCAGCTGCACCTTAGCAGCCCCCACAGCTCCTAGCGCAGGAGGCCGCCACAGATTGGCAGAGGCCACTGCTGGCCATCACACCACATTTGGAGAACTTGTCCCGACACAGGTCAGCTGTTGGGTGGGAGCGGCAGAAAGGAGTTGGGGTCAGGGTGGGGCTGGGTGATGAGCGCTGCTCCCCACTCTGATTTCAGGATCCCCCCGAAGTGGCACCCGCATATAATGTTTAATAAACACCAGGCGGGTGGGCAGGGGCAGGTAGAGGTCTGGGGGTGGAGGCTTCCTACCTCGGAGGAGCTCTTCATGGGCACAGACTGTGCGGACACAGATCTCCTTATTGATGACATACATGCGGCGGAGGCTGCAGGGATGAGGCCGGGGAGGTGTCAGCCCCACGCTTACCCAGCCCCGCTGGGAGAGCCTGGGCGTCCCGGCCCCCAGGCCAAGGCTCAACTGCAGGATTCATTATCTTTCCCCACCTTCCTCCTGGGCTGGCTGGAGCTGTCCCCTTTGCCCCCTGCCCCGTGCCCTGCCTGTGCTCACCTGTAGAAGCAGACCTCGTTGAGACACTGTTTGCAAGGCTTGTGTATGGAGTAGAGGCGGGTGCAAGGGTACTGCTCCTCCCGGCAATCTGGGTGACAGGCGGCATCAGACTAGGGGGCTCCCGCTTAGGGCCCAGAACTGGGGTGGGGTAGCCCCAACCTTGCCCACCAGAGACCGGCTCTCATCCAGGGTCTAGGTATGCCCTGCACGCTCCGGCGCAGACACACACACACACCCAGCACATACACAGGCAGCGTTGTTGGACCTGAGGCTGCCCACTTTTATACAATGTATTTATACATATAAAAATTCACAACCACACTTAGAAGCATATATTCAGACACACACTAATCCACACCCACCTCAAAGGAACACACTACCACACTGAGCTCACGAGGGCCAGAGGGGATCCCTCAGAGTCTGGCGCTCGGGCTCTTGGCTGGGGCAGCATGGGGCCTGCTGAGCCAGCCTGGGCTTCCTGCCCGCGCCTCCCCTGCCCGCCAGAGCACTACGGCTGGCGGGGAGGCCCAGCACGCTCCCTGCCCCACCCCAGCGTCTGTGAGCAGAGGTCCCCTCCCAAGGCTGCTGCCAACTCAGCCTCCAGCCAGGCCCAGGGGGCAGGGGGGTTTCCCAGAGCTGCCTAGGGGAGGCCTGGAGTTGGCTTGCAGGGCCCCCCACCCCACCACAAGGGCACAAGGCATGGCGGTCTCTGTTCTACTAGCTCCCACCCCACTTCACCCCGGCCCCGGGGCCATGCTTGTTGCTCCAGCTGTCAAGACAGCTCTTACCAAGAGGCCCAGGCTCTGTGGGCTCCGTCTCTCCGTTTCCTGGCTCTGTTGTTGGGGGAGGGACAGGCAGAGATCATTGAGAGAGGTCTATTCAGGGCAGTGTGAGGTCGCCTCTCCCACCCCTGGCACGGACCCCCACTCCCAGGGTTGACGGGCTTGCGGCCTACCGAAGGTGGGCGCCGGGATGACTTCCTGTTGGACTTGCTGCTGAGACTGGAACTGGAACTGCTCCTCTGAGGGCCGAGGAGTGGCCTCTGCAACAGGACATGAGGGGGTCTGCTCTCCCCCCAGATGCCCCCGTCCTACCAGCCCCCTACCCTTTACCTTGATAATCGTAGTAGTCCGGGTTGTCTGAAAAGAGAGATGAATGTGGAATTGGGTGGGGTCGGGCTCGCTCCCAGCCCAGGGGCAAAGGAGATTACAACTGAGCCAGGGACCAACCCCCCACCCAGATTGCCATCACTTAACCTCACCAGGTCGCTGGCTGAGCCTTGATGACATGGCAGGGCTGGGGGGACCTAGAGGGGGGCAGGGCCTTACCGATCTGGTCACCGTAATGGGTGTACTGGACGTGGTCTGGGAATGGTGGCAGTGGGTCCAGGTCATATTGCCCCTGAGCCAGCAGGCCTGCTGTGGGGAGCAAAGCATGAGGGGGTGCCCCACGGGGACAGCAGGGGCCCCGAGGCACTTCTGGGGAGGGTAGGTGGAGGTCAGGCAGACGTAAGACCTTAAGATCCTACAACCAGACTCATAGACCTACATGATCCAAACTCCTTCCTCAGTCATTATGGCCCTGACACTCCCTGGTCCTGTGTCACCTCACTGACCTCATCCTGCCCATCTCCCCCATGCTGGTCGCCTGGCACTCAGCACCCTCCAGCCCGCCCCAAGGCCTTTGCACTTGACTCTCCCTAGGCCTGCGATCCTGTCACTCTCTCCTTCAGGTCACCAATAAAATCCAGCTGGGCTAGGAGGCACTCTCGCTGCCCCCCCCGCCCCCAGCTCATCCTCTGGCTTATTTCTGTCACAGCACTCAGTGCAATCTGACATTTATCTGTGTAATAATACAGCCCTCCCTCCCCTAGACTGGCAGCACCACGAGGGCAGGGATGTCTGCCTTGTTCATCAATATCCCCAGGGCCTAGCCCAGTGCCTGGCACACAGTAGGAGCTCAACAAGTATCTGTTAAATGAATGCATGATAAACCTGTCAGGGCCTTTTGATCCCCATTGATAACTTCTCACTTGACCAATAGGGACCCCTCTAAGGTCAAGATTGTACAGGGTGGCTGAGTCCCAAATGGGTCTAGGCTCCCTTCCTTGGGTACCTCCGACTCCTCTGGGAGGGTCAGTAGGTAAGAGGAAAAGCATGGACTCCTGATGCCCGAGCGTGTGCCCACACTCCCGAATCCTGCCCGCCGGCTACAGTGGACGGTTGGGGTAAGGGCCCAGGAAATGCCTCCGACTTTGGGAGGGGTTGGCCAGTCCGGTCTGTGGTCCAGGAGGCAGGAGGCCCTGGGACCCGGGGAGTTGAGCTCTGGTCACAGGGCAGAACAAAGACACCCTGCCATCTCCCTCCCCCCACAAACCTCACTCTCACCCACATAAGGGGAGCCCCCCATCTCCAGGAGCCACTTACCAGGCAGGAATAGCAGGAAGAGGTAGGCAGCTCTCATGGCTCCTCAGTGAGGCGGGCTGGGCTGGTGTCAGCTGGAAGAAGAGGCGGCAAACTGCACCCCAGGCCCGCTAACCCAGGACTGCTGGACCCACCTCCACTCCCCCAGGCCAGCCTGGAGAAGGAGGGATCAGAGTGGACGCCAGGCATGTGGAGGGCCCAGAGTCTGGAGGGAGACCTACTTTGGAGGGACACTGAGTGCTCAAGTCCCAAGGGACAAGACCTCCAATTTGGCTCCAGGGCTGATCTTGACAAATGCACGCAACCTACCCTGCCCTGCTTGGTAAGAGGACATTTGTAACCCCCCACCAGCCCTGACCCTGCTCTCCTGGCCCACTTCCATGCCCACCCTCTGGGTCAGCACCTCCCCAGCACCTTCCTGACCCTGAGGCCCATCCTTGGGACCCCAGCCCTGTCCACCAACACCACAGCCCACCACCTGCTCCCAATTAGCCCCTGGGCCCTGAGCATCTTGCTCAGCAGGAAACCACATGCATGCACTGACCCCAGGGGCCCCTAAGGCAGTCAGGCCTGGGCAGGGCTCCCACCCCTAGAAGATTCCTCTCCTGCCAGGCCTCCCAAGACCTGGCTGTGCATCAGACTCATGAGACTGTGGTCTGTTTGTCTGCAGCGGCAGGAAACACTTAGGGTGGAGTCTGAGGAGGGCTTCTCTGGCTCCTCGAAGGGCAGCCCTGGAGAGGACCATGATGTCACCCAGGCTAGCGGTGCTGAAACCCCCTGACACTGTATGACAAGTGTTGTGTATGTAATTTGGGGGGGACAGAGCAGTAATCCATAACTTTCACCAGGCTCTTAAGGTTTAAGGATTCCTGGTGGAGTACAGCCTCCAGTCTTTGGCCCCACCGTGGACTTGGCAGAGTCTACAGGTCCCCGCAGCTTATTTATCCGGGAGGGCCCCCTCTCTGCCACAACAAAGGAAGTTCTCCCAGACAGCTAACCAGAAACCTAACTTTGCTATGTCTCCCCTGGGGGAATCTAGGGAGAGGGAAGAAAAGGCAGAAACGGGCATCTCGCCCTCCTTCCCAATCCTGAGACTTCTGTGCCCATGCATTCATCTCTGTCCCTTCCTTAACCCTCACTGCAGTCGGAGGAGGCAGGTGAGGACATTGAGGTGGGGGGTGGGGATGTGACTCATGAGTCAAGTTGCCCGAGAGGCTGGGGACATCTGGCTCCCCACATCCCCATTCTGCAAAGCCCTTAGCCTCCTCTTGGTGAGGACCTGGACCTCCATGCAACTCCCTACAGGGCTGCACTATCCCCTCCTTGCCCCTCCAGGCTGGTGGCAGCGGGGCTCACTGGAGCTGTCACCACTCAGGAGGAGGCCCTGGGTTAGGGCCTTAAGGCGCCTTAAGAGGTGTATGTGTGGCGCAGCCTCTGTCTGTCCCGAAAGCCCTCCTCGGCCTTCAGGGCCCCGCATGGAGTCCTCTCCTCCCCAGAGGGTCTGGCACCCAGGCCTGGGGCTCTTGGGGACAGGGGCCCCCAGGGCAAGGGGTGTGGTTGTTACGAGTCCTGCGGGGGTAATGAATGGTCCCAGGCGACATCTCCAAGCACCTCCAGACTATGGGTTTTGCGGGTGTGCGGGAGCCCAGAGCCTGCCCAGGCCCCCCCCCCCC